AGGAATGCCAGAGATTACGGTTGTTTTTCACTTGCTTTTGCTATTGTATAAAGGCTGGAGAGGAACTGGGACACTCTGTGCGTGTGTGTGCACATACGTGGTTGTTGTACAAAAGAAAAAAATACGGTCTGTGAGAGTCTCTGTGCATGGACCAGACTCCCTAAACAGGCACTAAGGAAGGAGAAAACACTACTGCTTTGACCTTCTGCAGCTATAGGAAACTGAGGCATGGACAGGTTATTGATGTGCTCCAAGTCACGTTCCTGGGATAGTGCTCCAAGTATGGAGCAGTCTGCCTTTCTAAAGCCAGACCCTGCAGAATTTAGTGCCAGCTCCTTGGAGGGAGGAGTTCAATCATTGTACTTGTCCTCTTCAGGTACGTCTGGCCCAGCTGGCGCGGGAAGACGCAGAGAGAGAAGTAAAGGAGAAGGAAGAAGCACGTCGGAAGAAAGAGCTCTTAGAAAAAATGGAGAAAGCTCGCAACGAGCCAGTGAACGACTCGGAAATGGTGGACAAAATGTTTGGATTCCTGGGGACGACCTCCTCCCTGCCTGGCCAGGAAGGACAGGCACCCAATGGCTTTGAGGTACTGGAGACATAACATAAGCCTGGCTGTCACATGAAAGGCTTGAGTGACATATTAATGAATCAGGGCAGAGTGGGACAATCCAAAAAGGGGTGTCTGAAGGCTTCCTTCAAGACGAGGCTCTTTTGCATGGCCCCAAAGGGTTTCCATGCTGTGGCTGGGGACAGTCAGGCAGTCTTCAGGCTTTGTCTGGGGCTACCACATGGAGGGGAGCAGTGTCACTATAACATCATCGAGGATTTGTGACCTTTGAGATCCTCTCCTTTGTGGTTCAAGGAGAAAGAGGAGTTCAGTATCAAGGCCTTACTGAATGCCTGACGTGTCCTTCTCCACCAGGATCTTGAGCGAGCTCAGAAGGAGCTGGAGGAAGAGGACCTTGATGCAGCATTACCTCTCCCTGAGGAAGAGGAGGAAGACCTGTCAGAGTACAAATTTGCCAAGTTCGCCGCCACGTATTTCCAGGGCACAACAACACACACCTACATTCGCCGGCCTCTCAAGCAGCCTCTCTTGTACCATGAAGACGAAGGAGACCAGTTGGTGAGGCAGGGGATGAAAACCCTCGAGCAGGGCAGGGTGGGTTGGAGCAACCTGGGGGAACCATTCGCCCGAAGGGCACCAGTAGTTTCCCTTTGGGATACACTGATGTGGACGTGCTCGTGGTTCAGTGGAGAGCACAGCCCTCAACTGCTGGATGTGTGTCAGCAGACACTGTCCCATCAGCACTCTTTGAGCACTGGCAAGACAACAAGCATTAGAGGAATGTAGTGGTGAGTCCATCTCTGTACCCTGATATTTGTGTTAAGACAATTAATTAATTAACTAGTTGCTTGTCCTACAGCCAGCAGTACAAGAGCGGACTCATACTTAGGCTGCCCAGGGAGGTGGTTGAGTCCCCATCCCTGGATGTGTTTAAGAATAGGGTGGATGATCTACTTAGTGATATCATTTAATGGGGATTAGGGATGGTTGGACTCTGTGATCTCTAAGGTCTTTTCCAACCTAGAAATCTATGAATCTATGAATCTATGAATCATACTGAACCTGTATGGCTGTGATGAACGTTACATTGGCCATGCACTTGCCTTCACTGTGGATCTCCTTCCCCTCTGCAGTGGGTTAGGAGCTGCCAGTCACTGCCTCTCCATAAGGATGGCATCTCCTAGGCAAGAAACAAACCCCTCGTAGGGTGCGCAGATACGTTCATGATGAAATGAACACAGAGCCTGAGTTTGTGGTCCCAGCCACCAGCCTGCCGGGCTTGCTCAGATGGGATGTACGTTGCAAGCAAAACTGTTATGTGTGACACAGGGAAGTGTTTTATCTCCTGCAGATGCAGAGAAAGACCACAGTGGTGATCCTGATGGATGCAGCATGGTTTGACCACCCCCTCCACTGCCCTGGAGCGAGCTAATGGAGTTTAACTTTCCTTTCAAATAGGCAGCACTTGCTGTATGGATCACTATCCTCCGTTTCATGGGAGACCTCCCTGAGCCGAAATATCACACAGCCATGAGTGATGGCGGCGAGAAGATACCAGTGATGACGAAAATCTATGAAACTCTTGGGAAGAAGACCTATAAGAAAGAACTGCAGGCTCTGCAGGGAGAAGGAGAGGTAACTGCTGCGGCTGTAAAATAGATGCTATTATTAGCATTGGATATTGAAATGTGTTGGAAAGAAACGACTTGTGGGATTTGCTGCAGGCAATCAGTTTGTTAATTTTATTTGCAATTATGCTACCGAGGGAGAATTGCCTGTGTGCCAGGTGTTGATCCTGTCCCTTCTTCTTCACAGGGATAACTGAATGTCCCCCAGCAATACAGTAAGGAAAATGCCCTGATATCTCTCATGGGGCTTTGATCTCTCTCTTCCTTGTAGGGCAGAAATACATGGGGAGAATGCAGTGTCCTGTGTCATCAGTCTCTCATTTGGAGATTTCTTTTTGATCTGCCCTGGGTCAGAAGAGACTAAATTAAAAATGTGCCCTTAATCTTGGAGCAGGAAGTAAAGAGTTACCAGGAGATTAAGCTGTGGAAATCCAAAAAAAAAATCCCTATTGCATCCTCAGTGCATTCTGGGATGTCACTGGAGGACTTGGTCTTAGGATCCTTCCCAGACAAGACATTGCTCTAGATAAATCACTGTCCATAGCACTGATATGGTTTCGTCTTTGGCAACTGCTTTATTCAATAGGACAAGCTATTACCTGGTAGTGATGTTTTCTAATGGCAATGTTGCATTTTCAAGAAGTTTTTTGTAGTATCATCTGGACAAGCCCCTCCAGAATTTTCAAATGTAAAGTAATAAACCTCTTAGTTTTTAGAGACAGTGATATCGTACAGCACTTTCACGATTACCCAAGAAGGAGAGTAGCCTCATCTGCATTGTAATTCTGTAAAAATATACACCAAAAATCAACTTTCGTTCCTTCTACCCATCATTTCTTGCTTATTATAGAAAGGCATATTTTGGCCATTGAGACACCAGGTAGTACAGAAGAGAAGGAAAATTTTTCTCTACAGCTATATCTGCTCTGCAGAGTGCACAACAGGGCAGAGAGATGTCTGAGTTGACCCTGGGCACGATGATAGGAAAATTCAGGTTTACAGTACCAACTTGGCTTTATAATGGATATAAACCATCACAGCTGCAGGATCCAAAGTGTTGAGATGATGTAAAATCACAGTCTTTTCAAAGCTGTTTAAATGGGGAGAGTTTAACTGGGTCAAAAAGTGATTATCCATGCCATTTTAATCTCACAGCTGACAAAATTTGGTATAAAAGTAGAATGCAAACAGTAACTTGATGATATGTAGTCTATCCTACATCAAATTTATTCTTCTGGGAAACCTGATAGAGCACAGAGCAGGTTCACAGTGATGAAACCACAACAGGTAACCACCTGTCCGTGAATCCCTGGCTAGATGACTTCCAGGTCACAAACCTGCTGTGCAAATGGCTCATCTCAGAGATTGGTCTTGCTCATCTCGTTTGCAATGTAGAAACAAACCTGAATGGCATACAGCAGAACCTGGCAGACCTAGGTTGACTAGGAGTCATCCATGCGTTCAACATAACTTGTATCAGATGTCTCCAATATGTAATTTTGATCTGGGGAGGCTCATTTGTTAGAGAGCATCTGCAAAATTCAGAGCCAGACGTGGGTTATTGAGGTGCCCAGGAATATGAAACCACACTTCTGGTTCCCACCAGCCTCTGAAATATCTCACTCTCTGCCCAGGATTAATGGCCTTTTGCAGAAGCCCGGGGGAGGCAGGGCGAGCACGTACTCGGCAGGGCTCTGCATCTCACTGCGTTGCATCCACGCCTCTTGCTTTGCAGAGTACTCACATTGATGGGCACAAGAAGAACAGTGTGCGGCACAAACTGGTCTCCTTAACGCTCAAGAAGAAATCCAAACTGACGGAGGAGGTGAGAGGAGACGCTTGGCCGCCTGGCAGCACAAGTGCCGTTGGATTGTCTGCAGCCCTCTCTGACTCTCTTCTGCTTTTCCCTAGACAACATAGAACCAGCCCTCCTCTGGGTTTGGCGCTACCTGTCTCTCTGCCTGAAAGATTTAAGGAGTGTTTAAGGGGAAAGGTTGGCTTCCCGTGTCTCCTTGAGTCATTCTGCACCTCGCGCCGGCCTCCCCTCGGCTCCCGATCTCCATCCATCCAGCATCTTCCCTCCCCTCTTTCACAGCCCTCCATCCAGCTGCTGATATCTCCCACCGCTCTGTGATGGTCTGAATGTTGTCCCCGCTTTTAGCTTCCTGCCCTCCACTGTGGTGTAGGCAGCAGAGGTGGAGTCCCCAAATGCGCACACCCATCCTCTGCTCCTCTCCAGTGCCAGGGCCAAAACTCCCCACCAGAGCAGTTAGCCAAGCTGAGAGCTTTCGAAAATCCCATCTCAAAAGAGTGAGGAGCAATAAATTTTTTGGGTGGGGGAGATAGAAGCAATGCAAAGACATGGATTCAGTCTTATTTTACGCTTTGCCATGTCCACTTCCAGAGCAAGCACCATCCCACCTGGCTGTAGCTGCTTGAGAGCATGAAGATTGCTCTCTGAGATGATTACCCTCCTTGCCCTTAGGGTCAGTGGGGAGAAATAGGGCTCAATCCAGCTTACCCTAATGTGGCTCTGAACGCACTCTAGAAATGTCCATCCCTCTCCAGTGGCTCTAAATGGAGACTGGGTTGACCAGCTGAGACAGGAAGGTGGTAGGTAGATGAGTGGCATCCCTGTTTTCACAAACAGCACCATGCTTGTGCATGTTTGGCTGCATCATTAGCATGGGGAGCAGGTCCGTTCTGTCAGTGTTGGAACAATTTGGTTAATATAACTAAGTTAAAGAGACAGGCCTTCCTTGACAATAAGCTGGGATTATTCCAAAAATCCTTGGTGGCCCTTTCCCAGTTGCAGGATTGGCTCAGAGCTGGGATGCAAGGATGACACTGTAGAAACCCTGGGCAAAGACCAAGCAGGTGTGAGTGTGGACAGGACCATTTTCAGCTTCACCCATCTGTGATTCAGGCCAACAAAGTCACACCTTCCCATTGCTGATAAAGTGCTAGACTGAAGAACTTCTGAGACCCCTCCTGGCTGGTGGAGGAGTCCTCCTGGGGGAGCACCACACATTTGGGATGGGGGTTGGGGGGGGACATAGTAACTGGCTGTACTGAAAGAGAGCAATGTGTCTGGTTGGCAGGTGACAAAGAGACTTCACGATGGTGAGTCCACACTCCAGGGTAATAGCATGCTTGAAGACCGACCCACCTCCAACCTGGAGAAGCTCCATTTCATTATTGGTAATGGCATCCTCAGGCCAGCCTTAAGGTTAGAAACCAAGACAAAGACATAAACATGCCATTCTTTTCATTCCTTTTTCCTTGTTCAAAATTCCTTCTTCCTGTTCAAATTATTTCACTATTGTGTGCAGCTTTACAAAACTCTCATTACATCATTTTTCTGGTTGTGTTGTATAATATGGGCTGGATCTTATTCCTTACTGTCCATATCAGGCCTGGAGGAAAGACCACGCAGAGGGACTCGAACATTTCTAAATGTTCTTCTAAAAGTGCTAGTGGCTACTGGGTTGTTTTTTGAACACTCTCTCTTGCCCTTTGTTTTCTACTTGACCATTTAGATCTCTTTTGTTTGTGTGAACATTTTTGATGATATTCTAATGAAAAACTCAAACTCATTTCAGCTGCTAAATTAAGCATTCAAAAGTGAGAAAGTGCCAAATTAAGGCAAACTGTACATCTTTGGTTTAGCCCATTTATGTGTGCGTGTGTTATAATAGAGTCCTCGTTTATGTAGTCTCACCGTTTTCACTCACACCTATCTGCTTACTCCAGGAACAAAGTGGGCATCCTCACCTGATGACCAACTTCTCTAATTTCTATTTTATCCTCCCAGCTCACCATGAAGCCCTTAGCCTTATTTTTCTGCACAAAGTCTGCTCTGAAGGCAGACCTGGTAGCATCCCGTGGGCTTTCCCATGAGGATTGTCAGTGTAACAGGTTGACTATTGAGTTTTTCTGCCTCCCACGTAGATAAGGAAGTGCTGTTATCCCTCATTTTGCATGTGAAGAACTAAGGTTAAAGTAGAAGTGGACATTAATTCCCAAATTGAGATACCTGTTAAAGTACATGCCTGTTTGTGTGTAAAAGCTGGACAAACCTTGACCTCTGCTGGAGCTGATAGTTCCCAACACTTCCAGAAAGCAAGTTCAGGTGTCTCAAGAGGAACAGCCAGCAAATGATGTCCCTCTATGAAAATTAGTTTAGGAGATTAGATTCTCTTGGTATTGCTGAGAAATCTTTGTGATAAACCAGGGTAGACTCCATCATCTATGGAGATCTATACATCTCCCATGTATCCTGGGCTGTATCAAAAGGAGCGTGGGCAGCAGGTCGAGGGAAGTGATTCTGCCCCTCTACTCAACTCTTGTGAGACCCCACCTGGAATACTGTGTTCAGCTCTGGGGTCCCCAACACAAGAAGGACATAGAGCTACTGGAAGGAGTCCAGAGGAGGGCCACAAAGATGGTCAGAGGGCTGGAGCACCTCTGCTATGAAGACAGGCTGAGAGAGTTGGGGCTGTTCAGCCTGGAGAAGGCTCCGGGGTGATCTTATAGCAGCCTTCCAGTACCTAAAGGGGGCCTACAGGAAAGCTGGAGAGGGACTTTTTACAAGGGTATGTAGTGACAGGACAAGGGGCAATGGATTTAAACTGAAAGAGGGCAGATTTAGGTTAGATCTAAGGAAGAAATTCTTTACATTGAGGGTGGTGAGGCACTGGAACAGGTTGCCCAGGGAAGTTGTGGCTGCCCCATCCCTGGAAGTGTTCAAGGCCAGGTTGGATGAGGCTTTGGGCAACCTGATATAGTGGAGGGTGTCCCTGCCCATGGCAGGGGGGTTGGTTAGATTCTCTTGGTATCGCTGAGAAATCTTTGTGATAAACCAGGGTAGACTCCATCATCTAGAGGTGACATTCAGCTGCCTGAACCGTGGGACTCCCTTTTATTTCCCTCTTTCTCTAAGCGGTGTCAGTCAGCTGAGGGAAATCTCAGCTGAAGCATAGGGAAGACTCAGCAGACGTTACAGGGGTGGTGATGGATGGCATTTTAGAGACAGTGCAACCATCAGGGTGACCATCATTAGGGCAGTTAAATTAATACCCTTGCAATTCTAAAATGAACTTTTAACTATCAATCACATCCGGACGCAGTCTGGCTCTATCTCTGTTCATGTTGAAAAACACCACCTCGTTAACTCTTATGGGTTTTTTTTAATCCCCGTTGCAGGGATGAAATCTATTGTCAAATCTGCAAGCAGCTGACTCAGAACCCATCCAAAAGCAGCCACGCCAGGGGCTGGATCCTGATGTCCCTCTGCGTGGGATGTTTTGCTCCTTCTGAGAAGTTTGTGAAGGTAAATTGTAGATGATGTTTGTGTCATGAATTATCTGCCAATACATTTTCTTTCCATCTATGGGACCAGCTTTTCTCTTGGGTTTTGCAGTAGAGGGAATCCTGGTCTTTATGTTTGCCAGGAATGACAATGATATAAATTCATAATCAGAAAGAAAAGTGTATGTGATCCCAAGCTCAGTGTCTAAAGTAAATCAGATGAGTCTCTCCTAGGAAACATCTCTCTTTCCTGTGACTCTAAAGGGAGTGTAGACAATCAAGTCATATGATGCCTCCTGCACTGTAGACATGTGAAGAAGTAATTAAGTGATTTCTGGCAGGAAACTTGATTGTGGGGGGCTGGAAGTGGAATTTAGACACCTGGAATGTCCCACATTTCTCCCCTATTTCCCACATGCAAAGGTCTAAGCATTCATTCAAGCACCTCTTGGCTTTGTCAGTATGACCTCATGCATGTACTCTAACAAATTTGGCAAGGAATAGTACTACATAGCTATATAAGTTCATACAAAAAATTGCACATAGAAAGGGAGAGGTTTAGTTTACCTGGAAGTATGTTTGCATAGTTCTCTGCATGCTACAACTTGCTCTACCACGTGTCATACTGAAGACGTCCAACTCTAAATAGCCACACGAGAGATGATATGTAATGTATGTTCAGAAACACTGTGGATCAGTAGGACAGAAGTCAGTGGGAGATGCTAAGTGGCTGACACTCTTGAAAATGAGGTTGCTCTTAAGAGTTTTCTTTTTTTCCTGGGTCAAGTCTACATTTTGTTGTCTAGATTTGAACAGCCTGCTTTCTGAACGAGTTACATACCTGAAGTCTGACTAACAACACTGGGCTTCTCATGTTAATCCCACACCTAAGAGTTTGGCTGGCACAGGGCAGAAGGCTCAGCACTGTGTCTTTGCTTTGCTGCAACACAACAAGATCTCCTTTGTCCCTCTCAGATCTTTGAATGTTGGAGGCTGGACCTGCTCCCAAGCCTGCTGGAGATAAAGATATTCCATTAATTTCCACAGATATCAGATCAAGTACTTGTTCCTCAGCAATGAAGGAGCTTAAGCCAAGAATAGAAATCACTCCTTCATCCCCAGGCCTTGCCAGTATGAAATCTAATAAAGCAGATAGATCACTGGCAAAGTGGCAGAAAATTAAATTATGTCTGGAAATGAGATCTGAGAAGTTATGCCATGGGAGGTTGTGTGGGTTTAAACCTTTAATAGCGGAAGATTATTTTACGTGAGTGAAGCACTTCTCAGAAAAAAATGTGTGAGTCACTCTGGAGACTCAAACATAGAATCATAGAATTGTAGAATAGTTTGGGTTGGAAGGGAGCTTTAAAGGTCATCTAATCCAACCTCCCTGCCATGGGCAGGGACATCTTTAACTACAGCTCAGAGCACCATCCAACATAACCTTGAATGTTTCCAGCGATGGGGCAGCCACCACTTCTGTGGGCAACCTGTTCTGGTGTTTCACATGTACCTCTGCTCAAAGTTATGGTCCACGCTGAAACAGCGGCGATATTCCCAACAGCTTCAGAGAGAGTTTATACTAATTCTGCCTTTATTCATCACCCTTCTGCACCTTGGGCTGTTAGGGATGATAGGCAGCCTGTGGTGAATGAAGTTGCTTGAGTGCAAGTGCAAACAACACTTGCAGCAGCCCACACTGTGGTTGCCTTTCCAGGCCCCAGTCATGCAAACAGCAACACACAGGCAGCCACTTGGGATGTCTTGGAGCTCCTCTGAAGCCACTGTAGGTATCCATGGGGACATCACTGACACCTTCCAGCTTAAAATGTTATAGAACCATAGAATCATAGAATGGTTTGGGTTGGAAGGGACCTCAAAGATCATCTAGTTCCAACCCCCCTGCCATGGGCGGGGACACCTTCCACTACACCAGGTTGCCCAAAGCCTCTTCCAACCTGGCCTGGAACACTTCCAGGGATGGAGCATCCACAACTTTTCTGGGCAACCTGTTCCAGTGCCTCACCACCCTCAGAGTGAAGAATTTCTTCCTTAGATCTAATCTAAATCTCCCCTCTTTCAGTTTAAATCCATTGCCCCTTGTCCTATCACTACATGCCCTTGTCAAAAGTCCCTCTCCAATGTTTTGAGATACGTTTTGAGATAAAGGATTCTCATAACAAAATGTTAACTCTGCCCTCAAAACACATACGTTCCCATCCAGACTCACTCTCTTGTTTTGTGAAAAGCAGAGGAATAGTCAAAGTTTTTTGGAGTTCAGTGAACGCTTCTGTTTTGAAGTTACATTAAGCCAGACCACCTAGTCCAGTCTGTTTTGGGTTGGGAGACAAACTCGAAGTCGATGCCAGACCTCACTCTCAGACTCTTAATCTGTTAGTACCATGTTTTCAGGAGTTAGTAGTCAGCCAAAATTTGATTTACCACGCGTTCACTGACTACTGCTTTAACCATGCAGCAGCTACCATTGAATGTACGACAGCCACGCGTTGGCTATCAGCCAGTTAGCTAGATGACTAATTTTTAACCTCATGTCTTTTTGAATTGGTGCCCTAGCTCCTCATTTAGCAGTAATTGTCCACCATCTTAACAGAAGGAAAAGCATATAAGGGTAAATATCTCTTAGCATTGATTTCCTATACTCTTCCATGCAGTGAATGTTCTATCAGTCTCCCGGTTATTTTTCTTCTGAAACCTCTAGGCTCTAATTTCAATAGCAGCAATATTATGGAAAAAAAAAAAAAAAGAGAAATTTCAGGAAACTGTTGTGCCTGGAAGTTGTTCCACAACCTTAAAAACTGTCCATTAGGTCTGAACATTTTGGGAAGGATTTAGCTGATAATGAGGCAGTCTTTCATTTGTTTTCCGGCTCCCAAATATGAAGGTCACGCTTTGGATCCCATTAGACACCTTTATGACATCATATGCTAAGCACGGGCCAAGACGCAGTAGTGCTCCTGTTCTTTGTACCTTTCTTTCAACTAATAACGGACTTCAGTGGGAAGGTTAATTAAACTTATTAAACAGCATCATTAAACCTACACTTTTACATGGCATTAACTGCTTGCAATCATGTGCAACATCTCCCATCCATATAACCCAGCTGTATTCCAGAGTATTTCTGTAAGTTACAGTTGACAGAGATGTCTGTCTCTACCCATGTTATTTATGGACTGAAAAATATGATTTATAAAACTGTTAGCCTTAGCTACCTTTTTGACCAAGACATTTATGTAGTATTTTTAAGCGTATTACCTTTCATACTGTGGAAGTCACTGGATTTAATTTTCTCTACAATAATGTGTTGTATTTTTAACACACGGCGAAGTCCTTCAAATTCTGGTTTAGGATCCTCTAAAATGCAATTTAAAATCTGACTAAGGAAACATCTGTTTAATGTAACTGTGAAAGATCTTTTGTACTGGCAGCTAAGTATTCTGAGTGACATTTGCCTACAGTTCCCCTGGATCATTGCTTATAGATCTTTTTCATTCACTCCCATCTTTCTGGCCTGTGCTCAATAACATTTTATAAAATATCTTTAAAATACAGAGATAGAAAACAGTGGCAGGGGGAACAGAGAAGCTGCCACACTGACTTTGATGTCTGGGCCCTCAACACAAGAAGGACATGGAGGTGTTGGAGCAAATCCAGAGGAGGGCCACGAAGGTGATCTGAGGGCTGGAGCACCTCTGCTATGGAGATAGGCTGAGAGAGTTGGGGCTGTTCAGCCTGGAGAAGAGAAGGTTCCAGGAAGACCTTCTTACAGCCTTCTGACACTTAAAAGGATCCTACAGGAAAGCTGGAGAGGGACTTTTTACAAGGGCATGTAGTGACAGAACAAGGGGAAATGGCTTTAAACTGAAAGAGGGGAGATTCAGATTAGATCTAAGAAAGAAATTCTTTACGTTGGAGGTGGTGAGGCACTGGCACAGGTTGCCCAGAGAAGCTGTGGCTGCCTCGTCCCTGGAAGTGTTCAAGGCCAGGTTGGATGAGGCTTTGAGCAACCTGGTGTAGTGGAGGGTGTCCCTGGCCATGGCAGGGGGGTTGGAACTAGATGATCTTTGAGGCCCCTTCCAAGCCAAACCATTCTATGATTCTATGATCAAAAGTCTGTCTAGGTTGTTGTCTTATCTTCACTGAGACCAGAAATGCACAGTGTAAGAATAAGACAGGGGTGCAGACTGTCCTACTCTCTCTCAGCTTCCAGAAATGTGGTGTAGAAACATCCAGAACCTGAGCAGTATCACTGCCACTGACTGTCTCAGAGGGCTTTTCTCTGATAAATCATCTCTTTGTAACCTTTGGAAATACCTGATCTCTAGAGCCAATGGTCTAACCAATGTGTTCCCTGCTGCCAACAGTATTTAAGGAACTTTATCAACGGAGGTCCCCCGGGTTATGCTCCCTATTGTGAAGAGAGGCTGAGGAGGACGTTTGCCAATGGGACAAGGACGCAGCCACCCAGCTGGCTGGAGCTGCAGGGACGAGGC